AAAAAAAACCTACCTACACATGCAGTGTCTGCCGTCTTCAAGACAAAACTAAGACCTTGGTTAATTGGACCGTTCAAGGTCGTGGCCAGGAATGGCCTAGCGTACACACTTAATCTTCCGAAGAAGATGCGCACCCATCCGGCGTTTTACGTTGGCTTGCTCAAGCCGTACCAGGACCCGGCTCGTGTGAGTGCCGAGTCATTGGCGCCAAAACGTTAGAGAGGGGCTAGGCCGCGTGCGGCTGCGAGACAGCAAGTGGTGGGATCACGGGGAGTTGGTCAACAGCATGTGGCGAAGCCACAGATCACGGAGCGAAATGCCAGAGATGCAGGAGCAAGTCAAGCTGAAGGTACAGCTGAGCAACTTAATTCTCATGGTCCGGGACCTGGTTGTGAATCAACAAGAGGGAGTACAAATAGTCCACGGGGTGGAACATTTCTTCGAGACCGACATCCTCGCGATGAACGTTTCGTTCGCGCCAGGGACACACGCGTCGTGAAGACGCAGACGCCGTTCCGGCGAGTGCTGATCCGCAGCGCGGGAATCCAGCTGAGACATGGCCTCCTCCAGCTCTGCTCGACGAGCACGGTGAGCCCCACTATCATGTGGAACGCTTTGTGGCGCGGCGTCGTCGCCGGGGTCGTACCCAGTACTTAGTGAAGTGGAAAGGATATCCACATTTGCTGCGGAGCAGCGTGCCGGTATCCGCCGATGTTTTATGTGCAAAAGCACCAAACATCTGAGGGCGAGCTGTCCTCTGCGCTGCAAGCTCCAGGCTCCGGAGAGCCAACCCTACGGGTCATCGCCGGGAAACGGCAACTCCCAGTAGGCGCGGGTCGGCCTAGTGGGGAAGAACTGAGTTCTGTTGTGCCTCGAGGAGGTAGAGGACAACGGGGCTCAGCCCCGAAGAGAGCTGGGCTCTCTTATAAGAAGTGTGTGCAAGCCGGGCTTGCTGGTCGTTCAAGCGAACGTGAAGGGCTTTGTGAAGCCGTGGAGAGTCTTGATTGACTCGGGAGCCTTGGGGCAACTATGCCCGTTACTCCAGCCTGGAAGGGAGTCATGGATCGACTGGAAGTCGAAAACACTCGGTGCTTCGCACCCTGCTCCTAGTGGAGCCTTGGTGAGTCATGAACCCACCTCAGGTAGGAAGCAGAAGCGCTACTGCGCGAGCACGAGGCCGAGGCGGCCGTGGTGCTGGACATTGGTATGTCGGAATTTGTTAGCAACGAGGTTGCTGTTTGTCCTGGTGAGGACGGCGCGGAGTGGCGCGTAAACCACTGAGTGGTATGGATCCGGTCGAAGACCTACCGCTGCGTGGCCTGTGAGCCGCGGTCGACTGCGAGTCGAGGCATCGTGGGCAAGGCCCAGAAGATGCAGATGTAGTGGCACCTAGATCACTGAGTGAGGGTTATGGACCGCATGGCCCTGAGCCGAGTGTCTCGCGAGATACTGTTTCCTCTCCGAGAAGCGTTGGTGCTGCTGCACCCGGTGGTGGTGACGGAGCTGGCACTGCACCGCCCTCGTCCGGCCGAGCTCGGTCGCGGAGGGAGAGGAGAGGAAGACGCAGGGCGTCTGTGACGTCTTTGGCGTCGGACGAGGCGTCCAACGTGACGAGCAGTGAGGCTCCACGTGATTGCTGCGAACAGCTGTACACACTCGTGGACGGAGTGACGGAGGAGGTTGAAGACGACATCAGCCTTGACTCTCTGCCCGCTGTGAATGCCCTGGTAGAGCTGGACGAGATGTCCGTCGCCGATTTTGGCGAGGCCTTGAAGGCAGGCGGCTTAGCCGAG